TTGACGCTCGGTACACAGGCGGGACACCTGAGTCACTTTAGCATATATAATCGTACAGTTGGATATCCAGTCAGTGCCAAGGCATTTAACTGCGCATATGCCCTAAGACTTAACGGAGTGAGTTGGCTGGGTGTACGTTTTCGATATAGATTTTGGATCTCACCCAGAGTATGTAACACCCTCAACCCGTACCCGACCCGGATAAGAGTTCGAGCTGTCACATTAACTTTTCAAACTTTGACTCTTGACGAAAAATCAAGGAAATTTAAAACTTTCATTAAAATAACATTGTTACTTTACACAAGTTAACCAAAACAAAACAAAAATGATCAGAGCATTTGTAACAAACACTTTTCTTACATGCCAACCATATACACGACAAAAGACATACTTTATCCGTTACTTCTGATATGATCTTCTAGTTGTGTTGCTGTTCTTGCTACCCTATTTCCGCTCTTCCTGATTCTTGGTACCTACGTGTAAATCACTTATACGCTAAGTCATAGACTTAGTGAGGCATATAAATATAATAATAATGCATTCAATATGAATATGAACATGCAATCTATCCATTCAATCTTGTCGTATACAATTCAAAGTAAACAATAATAATATGATAACATATAACTATAACAATGTAATTACCTTTGATAACCTTTTATAGGCCCATGTACATTTTTGATAACTCAAGGTATTCGAGTACATTGAGGTTGTGCACTATGTTGTCACCACATCTTTGATTAATAATACAACAAGAGTTCATTTTTGCAAGTGCTGATTTCCTTGTGCTTTCGAAGCTTCTTCTCCTAGAGTTCTTTCAAGTTCTTGTGAGGGAGATTAATCTTCACACTCCAATTTTCCTTTTCATTGTGACTAGGAGGGTTGGCTAGAGTCATATTATCCTGTTTGCCTTTTCATTGCGACTAGGAGGGCTCGATAGGACATTATCCATCTATTTTCCAAAAAATCCATCCTCACCATCATCACCTTTACCATCCACCTTCACAAGGGAGATCTTTTGATTTCTTGATTATCATATTTTATTTTTTAAAGTTCTTTATATTTTGTTAAATTATTCTAATATTATTTTACCTTGTTTCCAATACCTAAAAGAAACCCTAAAGAACCTACTTGCTATCGCCACCTTCCCCTATTCATTCTCATTGCTCTTTATCGAGTCTAGAGCTTTCTAGGTTTGATTCTTCAACAAGAGCAACGTTCATTAATTCACCCCTGCTTCCCTATCTAATGGTATTAGATTTGGGTCGATTCTTGGAAATAAGCAAGAAATCTTGCTTGTTCTTGCACACAAAACTGTCAAGGTACCCCAACGGAGCTAGTTCATAAAAAATTAATTGTTTCAAGTTCTTTTTATTTAATTTTAATTTAGATTCAAATCTTTCTTGTTAGTTTGCTATTTTTTTCTTCAAAAAAACAAAAAATTAAAAAAATTGCAAAAAAAAAAGGATTTTAGGGTTGATTTTATCCAGATCTCATATTCATCTTAAGAGTAATCTCTAGTCCAAAATTCACCCCAATCAGAGTTCATTAAAGCCTTCAAATACACCATTCAAGTTTCATTGGCAAATTCGGTCTAGAATCTTGTCGAATTTCTTCAAAATTCTACAGGAGGAATTTCGTGGTGAAAATTTCCATACTGAAACTGCATATATTGAAGATCATTCACAAAAAAATCAGAACTTTTGGAGATCAAGAACACCTTCGTACAAAGTGATCACGAAAAATAGATTGTTTAAGGACTCACCGTTGAACAGAGTCTACTGGATACTACTGAAAGTATTTGATTCTGAAATTTTACAGGTAGTTTCTAGACACATCGAAAGACATTCAAGAATTTTTCCAAAATATTTGGACACTGGTAACCCCCTCACCTATGGATAGACTTGAGTGCGTCACTACCTTGCTCAAGGGTGACGCTGGTGAGTGCCTGAGTTGATTTCCATAGAGGAATATCATTTTAATAAGTTCTTGGAGGGCCTACACATCGATATCCTATCACACCTAGCCGCTGACCCTCATTGAGTTTTCACTGAGTTATCCCGCCAGGCTAAGGCGGTCAAGAGAGTTTTGAGCATGAGGGCTAGACAATCCAACATGACTAAGGGGCAGTCCAAGAGGGTTATCGAGATAATTTGATCATTGCAAACTCCAGCTAAGAGTACCAGAGCTAGTAAGGGTTTAGGGAGACTCACATGCACATAGTTGAGGAGGATTGGGCAGAGTTTAGAACGATGAGGTAGATCTGATTCTAGGAGGAGACCCTTGACACTAGATTCAGGAGCTAGTGTCGGCGGGTCAACCAGAGGATTCACTCACCATGTTTGTGATTAGTGCGGGATGAGGCACCCAGGGACATATCAACAGGGATCAAGGGGTTGTTACAGTTGCAGCGCCTTGGGTCATATTGCACGTGATTGTCTGGGAGTTCATGGTGAGAATTAGCTTATTGGTTAAGGTTTTTCTTGGTTACTAATTCATTTTGGGTTCAAATACAATTAAGTTATTAATTTTTTTTTGTCTAAACTTAAACAAGTTATAAAACATATGCATTATTTCAATAACAAGCGTGAGAATTAGCTTAGTGGTTAAGGCATGCATAGGTTACCCTTAGGTGTCAAAACCCATCTTCATTTATTTTCAATCCAATAAAAGGTGTCACGTGTCACCTTTTGATTGTATTAAAAATTTATTAAATTTATTAAATTAAAAAACCTTCTAATCAGATTGTGACATGTGTCACAATATGATTGGAGAAATAAATTTATTAAATTAAATTGAAATTAGGACATAATTAAAAATTAAGAACTAAAGTTCATCTCGGTGATCAAATTGATTAATTCTAAAATCTAGGAGATTTAATCTATAAATTTAATACATGAACAGAATAAAAATTTTAAAATTAATGCACAAATTAAGTCATTAGACAAATTAAAAAAAAATCAGGATCAAATTCATTAAATGAAAGTCCAAGGAAACAAAGCATATACAAGTAGTGACCAAAATTGAAGAAAATGAAACAGTGTTCTAGCACCACAAATATGTAACTTTACAAGGACCCCAACCCTAATTATACAAATTTAATTAACCTCCACGTAAATATTTCCGCTAAATGTTAATGGAAGGTGGCTATATTGAAACCATTGAAATAGTTTAGTGGTAATATTGACACAAATTTAAAATTATCGTCATTTCGATACCAATCTCCATAGTTGGATGGTCATTTATGTAGTTTACCCTAAAAAACAATGATTTTTGTGATCAAATAGATAAGCGTACCAATTAGTGTATCATGATGAGATGTCAGGTTTCTAGAGCTTTATTATAAAATAATATATCAAATTATATCATTTTTCACGAATTGATGTTTAAATTATTTTTTTTGAATCATTTAAGTATTTAATGTTATAAATGTTATTATTTTAGTTACATGGGATATAAGACCTTTAAATTTCACTGTTAAAGGACATATGTCATATTTATAAAATTTTATATTTTTATTTAAATTTTAAAATTTTAAAATATTATTATATTTATTAAAAACTCTATTTTTTTTCTAGAATTACTAAAAAAACTCAAAATATGAAAAAAAAACTTAAAAAAAGTTTAAAATCTAAAAAATAACTCCAAGTTCCTAACATCTCTTATTCTAATTTCCTTTACTCCAAACGCCAGTCATATATCTAGCCACCCATCCGTCGGCGATCGGCCACCATATGTCGTCGACCACCCACTGACCAGTCATAACCCTTACTATCATCTCAAAACTCAAAATTCTCAAATCCCTACACTTCAATCCTTAATCCTTAAAATCTTAAATACCTAATCCATTAATTTTTTTGATCAATCATGGTAATCAGTCGTTTAGCCGACTGTCGCAGCCGACGGTTTGGTCATTTGGTCAACCATTTAATCGATCGTTTGACCATAGGAAAGTAGGCGAGGGAAAGGGAGGACGCAGGTTGGGGGAGATGTTTTTTAAAAAATTTTAGTAATATTTTTAATTTTTTTTTAAAAAATTCTAAATATGTTACACGTGTCATTTAATGAAATTTTTTTAACAGTCGTTACATCCCATGCATCTTAAATGATAATATTTGTAACATTACACATCTGAATCATTCAAAAATATAATTTAGGCACCAATTCGTGAAAAGGGTATAATTTGGACACTTATTTTATAATAAAGCCTAATATTAATAAAGTAAATTATGTGGGAAAGTCATCCCATGATGTACTTTTATAATATTTAATTTAATAATTAAAAAAAGATAGGACTTCATTCAAAATTATTTATATTTCTTTTACATTTAAAATAAATATGGTGACGCATTTCTTTCAGTAAAATTCCATTCCATCTCAATTCTAGAATGGCACATGACTGTTTGATGTCATTTTACCTATCATGTGTAGTCATACTTTCGAATTTTAATTTTATTTTTTGGACTCAAAATTATCATTTAAAATAAAGAAAATCGTATGAATTGATATAGTTATACAGAAGAAAAAAAACTTTAGATGGCTGTTTGATGTCATTTTACCTATCATGCGTAGTCATACTTTCAAATTTTAATTTTATTTTTTGGAATCAAAATTATCATTTAAAATAAAGAAAATCGTATGAATTGATATAGTTATACAGAAGAAGAAAAAAATAAAAAACTTTAGATGACTGTTTGATGTCATTTTACCTATCATGTGTAGTCATATTTTCGAATTTTAATTTTATTTTTTGGACTAAAAAATATCATTTAAAATAAAGAAACTCTTATGAATTGATATAGTTATACAGAATAAAAAACAAAAAAAACTTTAGATTATATATATATAATGACTTTCAAGCAATTGGAAGTTCATCAAAAGAGATTTCAATTTTACATGATATATAACTATATAATATGTATATATGTCATTTCTCATTATACAAAAATACATATCGATAACGAAGCGTTATTCATGATCAATAGAGCCCCCAGAAAAAGGCTTTTTGAATATTTGATAAAAATCAATATATATATATATATATATATATATATGATATTTAATCTAATCAAGCGTAACCACAATATCCATACTCACACTTCACTCCTGCTGAGCATTGTTTGTCACACTTGCCGCAATGATTAACATTGTTGACAACATCCGTACAAACCCCACCACAGCAACGTTGCCCGAACTGGCATCGATTCCCGCATACTCCGCAGTTATTCCGATCACGAAGCACGTTTCGACAATGCGTCTTGCAACAATATAGTATGCCAGTCCCGTTGTTCACCGAAATGACGTTGCATATGTTTTGGTAGGGGTCGTGTACGCAATGTGCACCTTTCCTGATCTTATCTTTCTTCGGTGAGGTTGTTAAGAACCGGCTTCGAGATCGAAGGTTTGGGATGATGGGAGGATGATCAAGCACGTATTCTTCTTCTTCTTCGTCGAAGTCTTCGATTCGAAATGAGAAGGTTGCTTGAGGATGGAGAGATAAGAGGATTGAAACGGCAAGGGTGAGAATGGCTATAAGCTTGAGAATGCTATTAGAAGCCATTGCTTTGAAATGGTAGGGAATTTTTGCATACAAGAGTGTAAGTTAATGGAAGGTGGAGGGTGTTTTAAGCTGCAAATTTATAATGAATTATTCCATAATATAAGGAAAGGAGAGCTATTTTATTCCAATACCAATTGTAAGATTTAGATAAAAAAATAATGTTATTCAAATATGAAAACAGGGGAAGCTATCTTTAAAAATTATAATGATTTGTACGAATTAATTTACCTTAATGATTATGGGTTTATTGTTATCCTTTGATATTTTAAATTTGAGTACACATTTATAGAGGTACATGTATGAGTGTTTATTATCAAATAATTGTTAATTTGAGTATGACAGTTATAGGGGTATATGTATGAGTCTTCGATTTGTACGAATGTTTGAGTACGAAATTTTTAGGTTTGACCATCTTATATTCATCCTATATTAATAAAAAATTATAATGATTTAAATAAAAAATTGAAAGAAAAAAATATTTTGTGTAGTTTACTAGTAATTAATAAATACCGGTAAATATTTGGGTAATCAAAACAGAAAAAAAATTGGCCCAAATATACGAGATAGTTTTACCATACGATAATATAATTTAAGGATAAGAAACGACAGAGAATGAGCGGAAATGAAAATATTATAAAAAATATAACATTTTCGATTGGACGTAACATAAAATGTTAATTTTTTTTAACATTTTCGGTTCAACTGAAAATATAAAGAAGAAGGTAACATTTTCGATTACCAATCGAAAATTTTATGAATAATGTAATATTTTCGGTTGAAAAAGTAACATTTTATTTTGTGTCCAACTGAAAATGTTATACTTTTTATAAAATTTCCGGTTGCGTATATTTCTTGCTATTTCTTAACCTTAAATTAAGTTGTCACTCCTTGTATTTTCCCTAATAAATGTACTTTTAAATCGACAGTCATTTTGATCGCATATCTAACCAGGCCTAATTTAAAAAAAATAATATCATTATAAATGAAATCAATTTCTTTTATCATAAAATTATTAAATATAAATTTATATTCTTTTGTAAAATCATAAAACAGGCATCCATTTTAAGGCTTGTTATTAAAAAACTAAATACAAACACCTAAATAAGAAAAAAAATCTCTCTTTGCATGTGATTTTTTTCTTCTTTTGGCATGTATATGATTTTTCTTTCCGAATTAACTCGGTACTATTCAACTAATGTAATAATTTTAATTAGGAAAAAGTGTTTTAGTAATTATTATTATAGTAATCGCTCAAGTAGATCTTATATTATGCCAGAAGAGGTATATCAAATAATCGTGAATGATTGAAGTTAAATGTTTGACGTTAATGAAAAAAATGTTGTTAATTACGAAGTCTACTTCTCCAAAGCATGAATTAATTTTAATATCTACAATTAAGTTAGAATAAAGTATTTTAACTAAAAAAACATAAGTGGAAGTTTAATTTAAAAAGACAGGTCGGGCTGAAATCTAGCAGAGCGGACAGCTATTGTGGATGTAATTAAAGGGAGGGGGAGAGAGTCAAAGCTTTCCGGCACGAATTGCTGTAAAAACATGTGGAGCTGATCCTGTTTTCCGGCAAATGCGACATCCCAACTCACACGTTTTCATCCACAGCAGCCCTCAAATCATGCCTCTGCTCATCTCACCATTACCTCATAGTTCTTTATTTCCTTTTTCTTTTCTGTTAGCCTCTTGATGTTCCATTTTGATTAATTTGGACCGATCTGTATCACATATTTGGTTTTAGTAGGCAAGTCTTCGGGCAAAAATTTTCTATATACACAAAGACTTAAACTCGAGACCTACTTAGACAACATAAAACTGTTTACTACTAAAACTATTATAAAGTATATCGTGTTAAATATTTCTAGAAATTACAAATTCCAACCAATTTGAACACATGACATTGATTTATTTAATTAAGAATTAGCGTAATAATTTAAGAACTGGAGCAAAAATTACATTGTAAATATTTCTTGATCGAGATAGGATTTAGAATAAATAAGACGATAACTTTATTGAACGATCTTAGTGGTAAGAGAAAGTGTTATTCTCGCTATAGATATTAAGTTCCAGCAGCTACGTCAGCAGGATGTGTGCACATTTATTCTCAATTGACTAATAAAATTATAATCAGATAATATCTTATAATCACCACATATTAACAAAATAAATAAATAAAATGATGCTTGACGTGAATAAAGAGATTTATTCATGTTAGTGTTGATGGTACTTATCATTCATCATCGTCGTTAGTTTTTATTCATATTTTATATTTTTTTCAAGTTGTTTAATTTTAAAATTTTAACTACTTTCATATATAGTTCTATTTTTATTGTTGTTGATAAAAACAAAGAGGTTGTAATGATCGAAGACAATTCATCCCTTCTAATTTAGGTAGAGAGCTGCAACCGGTGACTTTAGTAATGAATGAGGAGATGAAGAAGAACGAAGACAATGTCCTTGATGAAAATAGAGAAGATAAAAGAGATCCTATCTCTTGCCTAGCATAGGGTTTATATACTGACCCCTTATATATGAATGTTGATGTAAGATCTAGGATCATGATTTCTATCCATAGATAAATAGAGTCAATCAGTAGATTTGATCCTGATAGATCTTTTGGTTTTACTGATAGTTTTGTCAAGAGGTTATAGCTGGCTGAAAGATACATTGATTGACAATATAGCGCGTTCGTAGGTTCCATCATGTGGAGGCGTTGTAGTTTGCAGAGGAATAACTCCAGAGGTACAAAACTTGACCCATTAATCGAGGGATTGTCATAAAGTGTCTTGATCAGAGTTATATGTGGGGACATTTTTGTGTTTATTAAACTTGGGTTGAATTTGACAACTAAACTGAAGACTCATCGATGCTTAATCAGATTGTAAAAAGTCATAATATTTACCTTAATTTGTATATATATGTTGCTTAGTATCATTTTATTTCTCTTTCTATGAGATTTGCATGGATAAATTTTGAATCAGATAATGTACTCGGGCCCTTACATATCCTCTATGGAGAATTCTTAAGATTATAGTTGCATATCTTAATTTGCCGAAGTTAAATTGTGTGGAGTTATCTTTTGGCCCGTATGAATACTCTTTCAAGGATTCATTGGGCAATTTTTAGGTTAGGGGAGGATTCTCAACGCTTTTGTAGACGAACACCCCATCACAACGCTTTGTAAAAGGCAAGATTATTTTTTTTAGCTTTAACAGAGACATCTCTACTCTATTTAGGCTGCAAGAAGATCATAATATAATTCTCATATTTGATATGGGAGTAAAGCAACCTCCGTGCCTTTGCCCGTGAAAGAGGTAACTCGACATCCTCAAAAGAGTCCAATTTACAGACGGAGGCTTCTTGGCGTAATTAATAACAATGTGGAGGTTATTGTCCCCTTGTTGAGGCAAAGGCATCTTTACGCTCACAATAGCAACAAAGGAATTCATGTTGTTGAGTGAAGGTATCCAAACACTCTTTGAAGGATCCATTGAACTGTGAGAGCTAGAGTATCAGGCAACTCCTCTATATCAGTTGGTGTTATGAAGGGTTCCTTGAGTTCCAAAAGAGTAGAGATATCTCAATGCCCTCAACCATTTTAGAGAGACAACTCAACCTACTATAGGTACACGTCATGTATAGTGGAGGCATGTCTACGCTTTTAGAGAAAATATATATGTGTGACTAAGGCATCTTTATCTTAGTATAAGCGATGAGTTGACTTTCATATCACTAGGTCAAAGGCATCTTAGCACTTGTTAAAGCACAATAGAGGAACTATTATTATAGAGAAGGTAAGTTAATCCCTTAGATAAATTCCATAGGTTATAAGCTTAAGGTTGAGGCAACTCCACATTTCACTGAAGTATTTTGACAGTTTAAGGGTAGAGGCGTCTCGATGTTATTAGTGGACAACAGAGGCGTCTTAACTCATCTAGTCGGTTGATAAAGTAAATATATTATTTCCTTTGAGATATAATGATGGAAACTCAACAGCCTTAGCCACAGAGAAGACATCCCATTATGGTAGCATAGTAGAGGCATCTAAAGGTCTAACAACATGACGAAGGATATTAATATTCTCGAAGAAACCACAAGAATATGATTTTTGGAGGTAATCGAGTGCATACCTTTAGAGAATCCTAATGCTCAAGAGGAGGCGTTAGAACTTCAATTCATGTGTATAATAGGAATGCTTCTAAATATAAAATTTTATAAGGTGACAAAAATTCTAGGTGCGAGGGATTTCTCTCCCCATCATTTCCTTCATCTTATACGTGCCAAAACTTATCTTTTTTATGACTTTGTATGTAGCATCCCAATTGGATGCTATATTTCCCTTTCAACATATAGGTACACTTTCCTCAGTGTTTTGCATGAATAAGTCTCTAATTTGGTATTGTTGTCACATTCCAGTTTTGGAAACTAAATTAAGATGTTTTTAAAATTCTAGTATCAATTTGGAAATTCTCAAATGAAGGTCTTATAATGTAATATGCCTATAGGTTGTTTTAAAACCCTATTAGTTTTCTTTTTTCCTCTTTTCTTGTTCGTGCACTCCACCCAACCATTTTTTTTCTTTATTTCTTTCTCTCCCAACTATTTCCATTACTGTTCTTATTTAATTACATTTTTGGCTGTTGTCCCTTTGGTCGTGAAGTACACCTCTAATACCACTGTGTTTGTCTTGTCGACCCCGTTCATTCGATGTCCTTAGTTCATTGTTCTATGTCGATGTTTGTAACCGATGAGGGGTCAAATGTTCAAGTTTCATAAAAACTCCATCTACGCCGATCTTTTTTGGAAACCGATCTCGATAAGTAACTCCTTGTATTTTAAAGTAATATTCAAGAATTTTTTGTGAAAATGACCCCTAGTTGGTGTCCTACACACTCCCACGCGCTACTTTGCAGGTGTGGAATAATTTTGGCAGTCCAAACTACTGAACCAGCCAAACTGGTCTAACCTTGGACTGATCTATCTGAATAAGTCATCCTGAACCAGTTAACTGAATCACTGACCAAACCAAATTGTTGACGATTG